GTACCTAGTACCTTTTTTTTACTAGTGTTTTTGAAAGCAAGTAGATAGGTAGATTCTTCTGTTATCAATTACAAAAAATGGAGAACATTGTAATAAAGGTTCTTCAGAACCGGAAGAAGTTCAAAATATATCTTCTCGGAAGTTGAAAAATTTTTCAGACTTTTTCTCCAAAATTGGAGACATTTTGAGACATTTTTTCCAAAATTGAAGAAATTTTGGGACATTCTCTCATTAACTGGAGAAATTTTAAGACATTTTCTCTCAAATCGGAGAAGTTTTGAGACATTTTCTTCAAAATTCGAGGAATTTTAAGACATTCTGTCCCAAATTGAAGAAAGTCTGGGACATTTCCTCATTGGTTGGAGAAATTTTAAGACATTTTCTCTCAAATCGGAGAAGTTTTGAGACATTTTTTCCAAAATTGAAGAAGTTTTTGGAACATATTCTCACCAACTCGAGAAATTTTGAGACATTTTCTGCAAAATTCAAGAAATTTTGAGATATCCTCTCACCAACTAGAAAATTTTTAAGATATTTTCTGCCAAATTGAAGAAATTTTGAGACATTTTCTCCAAAATGAGAGCAATTTTGGGACATTTTCTCATTGACTGGAGAAATTTTAAGACATTTTCTACCAAAATGAAGTCATTTTGGGACAGTTTTTCTCAAAATCGGAGAAAGCTGCAGTCGAACTTTCCAAAGCAGGAGGGGGGTACCCTCCCCCAACCCCCCTCGCTCGCGCCGCCCCTGACTCAGACTTAAAATCTGAGTTTCATGTACATTTGATTAAAAGGATCTCATGTCATTTTTTTGTCACTAAAAACACCTTTTCCTTTTTTGTATTAATAAAATAATCTCATTTTCATTTTTATCTCTTTTTTAAGTTATTAGTACTTCATTGGGTTGAAAAAGTTCTGCCCTGTCAATAAAAATCTTGCCCATTTTGCCCATCGTGGTTTTTCAATACAATGGAGGTTTGCCCATTGGTCTAAAGATCCTGGTTGTGCCTCTGCATTTGGAGGATGAAGTATTGTATATTTTGATTCTCTCTAACAGAGTAGAGCAAGAGAATGAATATTCGCTTGCTCTTTGAACCTTTTCACACTTATAATAAAAAAATATGTAAGAATTAGTGTAAGAGCAGAGAAGGCAGTATCTTTAAAAACATACATGTTTTTTAAAAAATGAAGTTCATCAAAACATGTATAAGAAATAGAATAGCTGATGAAAGATTAAGTGATCTTTGCATTTTGTCGATTGAACGTGATTTTCAAATGAATTTCGAACAACTTATTGATCAGTTTTCAATTAGTCATAAAAATAGTAGAATTATGCTGCGGTAGTTGTATTCATTTTGATGTTCCATTTTTTTTTTCATAATAAAGGATTAAATATTTGAACTTCTATATTGTCTTCATGCATTGTTTCAGTAGAACTCAAGTTACCATATTGTACTTTCAGGGGTGTCCCGAAGTCGGAAAAATTGGAGGGAGAGGGGTCGATAATATAGAAAGTCGTTAAAAAGATTTTCTAAAGATGACCGAACTTTGGGGAAATACAAGCCTTTTTTTGCAAATTGTTGAGCACAAAAACCAAAAAAAAAGTCAATTTTGCCATGAAAAAACGAAAATTTTTCAAGATTGGGGATCACAACCCCCCCCCCCCCCCCACAACCCTCCGCTGTGGGACACCTGTTTACTTCAAAAGAGCTGGGGGCTGAGCCCCCTCTACCAATATTTCCTGGTTACGCCACTACCCACGTCTACACTCTTTCTAGTGACTTTCTTGGAGGGGACACTTTCCAAATGTTACCACAGCATTATATATTCAGTTTCCTGCAAAATGAAGCTAATTAAATCCAGGTTGGTGTAAAACCTGAGACTAAAACTAATGTTTATAATGCATTTTTCAGAAAATGATTAGTGACATTCGTATTCGTATACTATTAATAGAAGTCTCATTGATTTATTCGGATTTACTTTATTTTTTTATTAGGACATATCGATTGCCTGAAAAACAGCTATTTAACTGTTAGTAGTTGCAGTCGACATCGTGTTATACATCGTTTTATTGCCTAATATTTTAAATAATTGTTCTGTACTATTCGAATAAATGGAAAAATATACATAATATCCAAAACACTCACGATCAGCGTTCACCGTCTCCTAGGGGTGGACCATTTACATTAGCTTAAAATTAAGTTTGAAGTTATCACCTAACACTTAATATTAAAATTAATTGAATCACTTAACATTTTATTTTAAAATTAAGGTTTTTAAAAAATCACTTAATCCCTTAATTTTAAAATTAAGTGAATCACTTAACACTTACTATTAAAATTAAGTTTTTCACTTAACCACTGAATTCATTAATATTAAGTGATTAAGTGGTTGAAATAAAGGAGATATTATTTTATTTTGATATTTTATCAAATAACAGTTAATTTGAAATATACTAGGGCTAATCCCTATAATTTCTCAAGGGTTATCTAAAGATGATCACCATAACTCTTTAAGGCCTCCTCTCCTCAAAAAACGTCAATATTCATCAGAAACACGACATTGATATGAGTGTATGAGAAAATAGTCCAAAGTCTGCTCTTTCGAAAATGATATAGATTTTCATTTGGTATATAGTTTCTACTAAAAACTTTTAAGGAGCTTCATCACTCTCTACCAGAAAAATAAGCAGTTTTTTACAAAAACCTAAGAGTCTTTTTCGAGTTTTTCGTTTATCCTTTTCTGATCTAGCATTCCAAAATTTCTAAAAGAGCTTCATTGTAGCCAATAACTTTTTTTTTGTTTGAAAAAGTGTATCAAGATACAGGGCACCAAAGAGCCTTTTTTTTCTAAATTAAGCTTTACTTTTACTACATATATAAACACAACTAACGCTCGTCCGTGTGACTTGCTTGACTCTCGACTGAATATTGGGCTCTTTCGATATTATATACTGCTTTACGACCCTCAACAAAGCTAATATCCAATGTTTGAAAAAGGATGAGTGAGTGTGTGGACGTTGGTATTAGAGTCAATCTTGTTGTGCACAATGGTTTTGGTATCCATGTGATGGTTTTTGTCATAAATTTATTTAATCAAACTGATTCGGGTGGGTGTGGGTGTGAATCTTCATCTCTCCCACATCTCACACCCGACATGCATCCACACCCACACCCTCATATCTTATACAAATCTGTTTACTTGCATAATTTATTAATAAATCAACTAATCATTAACAAACTGTTGTGACTTTTTCTTGATTTAAAAATTATTCAAAGTCTTTAATTCACAGGTGAATATAATGTAATAACAACCACGTACAGCTCTTCGTTAGCATTTTATAACCAAACAGATCTTTCTCAGTGGAAATTCCATTTTTAGCAAATTACAATCAAGAATTTAGAATTAGCGTCAATTGTTCCATGTAATGATATTCGATTTGATAAAATCAAAAACAAAAATCGATGACTTTCAGTGCTCTACAAGTGCAAATTGGCAAGTAAAAATTTTAAGTCATTTTTCGACAGAAAAAAATACCTCATTCCTTGTGAGATTCCATGCTGATTCAGAATAAGTATTTCCTTTTCAAAAACATTTTCGATATAAAAATGAGCTTATCGATACTTGCCCTTGTCTCTTCTTGTGAAACATCAATAATAGTGTACGTTTCACCCAGAATTTATTAATTCTTGTACAACAATGTTAAGATATCTGCATAAAAAAAGTATTGTTACTTGAATGAAACTTCTCATTCGCTAAGGATCGATTGTTATTGAGCATCCATCCCCGTTAACAAAACACAATTGGATAGAGTTGGTTAATTTGCACATCATTGGACAAAGAGAAGGTCCATGCACTAGTGTCCTCTCTATCCACTCGAAAGGTTACGCGTCGTATCATCGTATCAAATAAAATATCGACACGATGCCTATACGGGAAAGATCATTTTTTTAACACAATCAAACTCGTCAATCGATCATGTATAGTCTTGGCAGTCTAAACGTACGTTGAATATCCTTCCTGAATGCACACTAAACAATCAGGCATATTTATACTCTAACGGGGCAATAGCATCCATTCGATCAACACTATGTTGCCAGAAAACACCAACCAATACCGTCGGAATCGCATTTTGTTCAGTTATAGATTGCATGTAGGTTACAAAAGATACTTTAATGTATCGCTGATTTTTCGGTGTATGAAAGGGATGAGAAGCGATGGTCAATTTGGAGTTGTATATATGCTCAAAAATACATTTTCTGCCTGCATAAGTTCAGTAGTGCAATACTTGAAACTTGAATTCAAGTGTTACATATATGATTGACGTAGCGTTGACTCGTGAAAAACAACATACATCACGTTGATGTTCACATGATCGTCAGTTTCGGTTAATTTCATGCGATATGTATCAGGATCCAATAGAAGAAGGCCAATGATTTGACTCAATAAATCAAACAATTGTTTGCATGAATGACATAGACCTTCTGTCAACGACGGAATTTGTCCTTCAGTTATTTCCAATGGAGGGTGTGGGTGAAGAGATTTAATGATGCTCCAGTTATTCTATGAATAACGGTAATTAGTTCCTTTTTTTCGTGCATCCTTTCTAAATCATTCGTCGATCTTAGGAAACATTTGTCAACAAATTCGAAAGTATCATTAGACAAGATCTTTATATCGATAAATATTCATTTTCAATTTTTCATTGTTATTAATGAATTTTTACAATTCTAAATCAAATGTTTTTATCTAAAAATAACTATTGACATGTTGATAACATGATGATTGTCTATTAATTAAATCTTTATTTTTTGTTAATATATTACATATACGTAATATATAAGACTTAATATCTATAAGTATTAATTTTAAATTTCTATATAATTGATAATCAAGATTAGAAATTAAATGATAATTATCATCAAATTGTGGTCGTTTAAATAATTCTTTATTAGCTAAAGCACGTTGTTCACGATAGTCAACAATTTGATTTATATAAGCGATAGAATTTGATTTCATTGAAGCTATTTCATCAAGTATTTCATTTTGTACAACAATACAAAAATCATTTGTATCATTATAAGATGGAATTTCTAATTCAAGCCAAACTGTTAAATGTTCAATTATTTCAATAAAATCATATAAATAATTTTGAACAGATTGAATAATTAAATTCAAATGATGATTAGATGCATTTGAATTTTCAATATTAATTATTTCGTGATTTGAAAAAAAATCATTTTTTAAAAAATTTTCTATTTCATATGCATGTTTAACAAGATTTGTTAGAGATTTTTCAGCTTGTTGTTTTATATTTGTATAAAGTTCTGTAAATATCATATTATTTTTATCAATATCCATAAATTTATTTTTTTCTCTCCTTGTTTTTTCTTTACAATATGAACATAAGTACAAAAAAAGAACAAATGAATATTTAGTTTATATCTAGAGATAGAGCGCCAGTTTTTTGTTCATTGAATTATTTGTGGTATTTCATTTTGAAATGATATTTCACAACATTCAAGTGTACGTAAATTCAATGCAATACATGAATTCGATTGAGCAAAATATGGAATACAGAGAAGACGAACTTGAATATCATTTGAACCTAAAAGAAAATCAAATGTTGCTTTTTTTTGTTTTATTCAATTAATATTATATTAAGAAAAGCTACGATTAATCTAACTTTTGGAAATAACATTCGCATGTATTTTATGATAACGTTATTGAAAGATATGAAGTTTCCGTCAAAGGATTTGATTAAGCTATTGAATTTTAATATGTCTATTTTCTAGAAATAGACCTCATGGCTGAGTAGCTACGCTGATCGACACGTGATCTTCTGTCTAGGGCTACAGATAGTATTAGTTGTAGAAAAAATACCGAGCTATTCTTCCATTTTGTTATTTTCAACAAGAATAAATAGATAATGATTATACCTTGAAAGACACGAGTTTCAAATTTAGGTTGATTTCCTGCAAAGAAAACATTTGGTGTATCATTAATTATAAATGGATCATTTTTAACATATGGATAACAACCTAAAATACAAAAAATAATTTTATTATTAAAAATGTATTTTATCGTACTTAATGTATCAGGACATGTTGGTGCAATAGCACACCATTTAAGACAATTTTCAAGTATCTGAACACGATTATCAATAGTTGATTGAAGATCAATATCATCTAAATTTTGTCCTGATGTTCCAAGAAAACTAATAAAATAAATCTTATATACACAATATTAATAAAGAAAATTTTCTGTTACCGAATATCACCAATTTGGAAATCATATGGATTTGTAAGACAATGTGTTGTTTTTCGTTTACTTGATGATGGAAACATACATGGATGTAATGGTTGTTGTGGTAACATATGACAACTAAAATCAAGAAAAATTATTTAAAAAAAATTTTTTTTTCGGTTACCTTGGATCATTCACACCCGGCATTATATCAATATCAGTTATTGTCTAAGAAATCAAATCATAAAAAAAAACCATCGAAAATAAGAAAAAAAAAGACATACAGCAATTTTATCAAATAACTCATCAATACTATGCATTGCTTCAACACTACTTGCTGTCATTTTTCGTGTTAAATATTTAGCCTTTGAAATATTTTAATGATTATTATCAACAAAAAAGCAAAAAAAAAAAAGTACGACTAACTTGATTTGTTGAATCTTTTAAACGAGTTGAACTTTCAATTAAATTACCAGCAACAATAAATCGAATACTATTACTTAAAATAAATTTTATTTGTTCAGATTGAATATTTGTTGGTTGAGTTAATGAATTAACAAGATATTCAAGTTGATTAAATATTATTGAAGTTTCCGATAAAAGAAAACCCGATGCAAATAAAATAAATCTAAATGATATATTTAAAATATTTTATTATACATTAGGAATTATTCTTACTTATCTTCTTTTAATGGTGATAATTGTTTTGGAATTGAAAGATCTTTAAAACAATAATCTTTAACAATAAATACACCTTTATCATCTTCATAACCATGTACTGCCATGACAATACCTATTAAAAAAATAAGAATTTGTCTATTTTTATTGTTGATTTTAACCACCATAAGTTATACAGAAGATCCAATGATCACTTAGATGTTAACAATAAGTCAAGCATGTTCATGCAAAACTAATATCAGTGATTGCTGTAAAGCGTTTTATATGTAATTCAGTCGAAAATGAAGCACGAATTTTGTGATCTTTCGTAGATTAAACTTACAAAGAAACAGTCATAACTATCCAATTACTTGTTGCTTGGGTTTTCGGTCTTCATCTGTTGAGTCATGCGTGTTTTACTCAATTTTTGCACTACGAACTTAGGAATGAAACAATTTCGAGATTAAATTTTGTTCACATATAGATCTTTTAGTCACTAGAAACACCCGAAAGGTTTGAGGTAGAACTAACCTATCCATGCTAATGACAGAAGTCCTCCGACTAATGAATCACTTTTGAACCGAGACTATGACTATTCTGAAAAGAATTCATGCTTGTAGCATATTCCTGTAGAGACAGTTTTTTAAGATAAATATCCTGGTAACAGAAAACTGATTTTCAAAATTCGACTTGAAATTTTTCATAGAGCATCTCTTAACGAGATTAGTTTCAAGTCTCTTGATTCGCTTCTATCCTAAAATACGAACAGTGTCTTAGGATAGAAACAACGACAAGAATCTGAAACATTCACATTAAGATCTGTCTCTATGCAAAGTTTTGTCGAAATTAGAAAATCAATTTTTCTGTTACTATGGCATTTATTTAAAGACTACCGTAAAAGTACAGTATCTCCACAGCAATTAGCTGGCAGCACGAAGTCTTTTCAAAGTATTCATAGCTCAATTGGACCTACGTAATGCACATAATCTCGGTTTAAAAACGATTAATTAGTTGAGGAACTTTCCTGATATAGGTTAGTTCTGGCTCAAACTTTGCGGTGTTTCCAGTGGCTATAAGATCTATGTGTGACAAAATTTTAGCTCGAAATTCGATTACTCAGGTTCTCAGTGATCTTATGTTCATAGTTCAAACACTGAGTAAAACGCTTACAACTGAACAAGTGAAAATCGGAAAACCAAACCAAACCAAAGGTTTTGTCGTTACTTATCATAACTGATCGAATAGTAATAATCTCAAACAAAAAAATGATTGATCAGTTGAGAACATTCCTTCGTCAACTTTCTTTTGTTATTGATCTCAAACTATCTAGATAAATCCGCATAAACGAAGATTATACTTATTGAATTGATATGACTCAAAGGCCAGGGCTTTTGTTATTATCTAATTCAAAATTTAACAATTATTTTAGTCATTTGAATTATGATCGTCATTCGAAGTTAAGAAAAGGATTCTGACTGCTTCTTCTATTCTAATTCTAACACATAATCGTTAGTTTTCAGAAATATAATTTACTCTCCTATGAATTTAGGTTGAACATTCTACAATTTAACCTATCTGCTAACCTTTTAAAACGGCATAAAAAGTACTCATAGGCCAATGTGATTGATGGAATTCGTCAGACTTTAATGAATGAATAAAATATTTCTTTCGTTATTTTTCTATTCTATAAAATCCATTACATATATATTTACCCGTAACAAATTGATTAATATCAATATTTCCATCAAGTACAATTCTTTGTGATTCTTCTTCAAGAATTAATTTATCAGTTGAATCAACATAACGTTGACGAGGTGGTTGTAAATTGAATCCATGCTACGAGAAAAACGAACGAATAAGTTTATCTTTTGTGTTATAGAAAAAAAAAGAGGAAAGATAATTTATTTACTTCAGTTGCTAATTGTTTAACAATACTTGGTTTTAAAATCATTTGTTTAAATAAAATTCCAATAAGAATACATTCTTCATCTAATATAAGATCATTCATTTTTTTAATTGGAATTTTTGAATCTAAAATTTTCGAATAAGAAAAAATTGTTCGAATGTTTTTTTGTATTAAATAAACAAACTCCAACGATTTTCAGCTGATTTCATAACCAATTTTCGCATTGCTCCAAGACGTTCAGCATAAAGATGAGCATATTGAACATCAAAATTACGATTTGTTAATAAAAATCGATCAGATAAATTAATCCATTCAGTTTCATAAGTTGGTGGTATTTGATTTGATGAACATACAACAACTGTTGGTTTTTTTGGTGAAAGTATTAGATTGGCTGATGGTACTGGTGCCGGTGCTGGTCCTGGTGATGGCGATGCTGATGGTAATTTTGAAATTTCATTTTCGTTTTTTATTTCCTTTGTTTCGGTAATTGGTGATGATTTAGATTTAGGCGCTGCTGATTCATTCGTTGCTGATTGTGCAGGACTTTTGAAAAATGATGTTATCGATTTTTGATTTTTATTACTTTTCGACATATTTATTAATATAAAATAAATCTTAAAATATAGGAGAAAAAAAATATATATATATGAGCTAATACAAACTAAAATAGTTGTTAATAAAATCATAAAACAAAAAATAAATAATATCGCTGCATTTAAAATAAAAATACAAAAGAAAAAAAAAACTCTATAATGTAGTGGATTTTTTCAAATTAAAACGTTGTATATCAATACTTGATAATGATTCAGATCCTGATCCATTGTTTAATGACATCATATTCCATTGATCACTACCCTATAACCAATAAAAAAGAAAAAGAAAATCGGATTAAATATATATTTAAAAAACAAAACTATTTTTGTTTATATAGCTCGATTATGCTGCACATGTTTGTTTATTTCAATGTTAACAAAATAGAATAAAATAAAAATAAAAAAAACATAAATAATAAAACGATCAGTTAATTTGCTAACTTAAATCCTATCTGTACTGTAGTATTTAATATAATTCTAATCAGAAAACAAACAACAAGTTATCGAAATAATTATATATAATGAATGTTAATATAAGTATTTATAGATGTTAAGATATGAAAAATGAAATTACTAATTTTTCATGCAATATGATATATAATAGGTATATATACCCACCAAATACATGATGAAATTTGTATGAGATTAATTAATTTTCACAATGTACCTTGGGTATTGTATATCCTTTTGCCATACAAAATTCTTTAAAACCACAACGAATAATTGAATAAATAGTTTGATCACGAATTTTACAATAAAGACGAAGGTCATGTTCACGAAATGTTTGTGGTAAAAGTGTAGATACCTATTGACAAAAGAAAAAAAAAAAATTTTTCATACATAAAAAGAAAACTTCATTTAATCAAACTTGTTCTTTTAATATCTTTGTTGCTGTATTCGGACACATCTTTGTATAAAACCACATATTTTGAAGTGGATCTTCACCTCGATCACCACATGTTAATTCAACGGTCTAAAAATATTCAATTTAGTATTTACAATATCTGTGGATCTAAAAAACCTCAGTCTTGAAGACTATTCACAAGGGAAGTCTTTCAACTAATTAATCGCTTCAGACAGTCAATACCGTAATTTTCTTAGGAAAATTCGTTTTCGAATTTTGATTGATGAAATTTTTCATAGATTCTTAGAGATCTAACTCTATAAAAAAAATCAGTTTACTGATTGCTCAAGACATCATTATCAATTTAAATAGTTTCAAAGATCGTTCATAACACTCCTAAAAAATCTTCGAAAATCAAAACTATTTTTGAGGGACAAATGTATAGAATGATAAGGGAAGTAGAAAAGTCCAAATTTAAAGTTAAACATTCATAAAAAAAAAAAGAAAGTTATCTTAGTTCCACAAAATTATAAATAATTGTCATGGCATTACATAAAAAGTTTGTCGTGACCAAACTTTGGTCACACCGATCTTATTGCCAATACATAGTTATGTACAGTAATTAGAAGTAATCCGCTTATCTTGAAAAATTCTTTAGCGCGAAGTTCCAGAGTTTTATTGTTTTCTTACCTGTATAACAAGATCATTTGGTGTAATATGCATTTCATTTCCATTGAATTGACAATATTTAATAATATCTTGACAAGCATTTTTGCTTGATTTCTAAAAATCAATTAGTTTTTGAATTATTTTTTTGTCTTTCTAATTATTGTTAACCTGTTTAAAATCTATTGTGAATTTTATATGTGTATTTCCAATATATCGATAAATTTCTAGAAAAAGATTATACGTGATATTGATCTATCAAAAAAAAAAAAAAACTTAGCTACCTCTTCGTTCAATTTTTGCAAGGATTTCTTTTGCTTTATTCATATTTGGATGATGTGAATGTTTTATTAGTGTTATTATATTATCATCTACTTGAGCAAATGTATACATATCATCAATAGTATGAGCAAGACGAGTATCACATCGTCTTAAAAATTCAAATAAAATATTTAATTAAAAGAAAAATCTTAACTTTGTATCTTACCCTGCTGCATTACAAAAGAATAAATAATCATTAGCTGCAATCAATGCTTCTCTAAGCCTAAAAATTCAAATAATTTTTACGAAATTATTATCGGCATTAGAAATTCAAGGTACTTGAATGTTTTTTTGAATAAGTGTCAATAGAAATAAGATAGAGACTTATATTAGTTTTTCAATAGATCTTTGGAATATCATACCGGATTTCTGGAAACTACCATAGTAGTCTATTGATTTTTTTACTGATTGTATCACAATACAAAATATGAAGAAAAATAATTTTTCTAGTGTCATAGAAACAAGTGAACTATCTGCAAGGTCATACTAGTGTAGACATTCACTTTCACTACGCTCACACCTACCTGACATTCATCCCAAATCTCGGTAGAAAATTATTTTTCTTTATATTTTCTATTGTATTCAAGCGAGAAAAGTGTATAAATCATCACAAAAGCATTTTTTTAGTACGGAAACAATGTAAGGAACGCTTATCGTTGCGAACTCGTTTGATTCTCGACGAAATGTTCAACTTTTCCTATATAATATAGTACTATACAAGCCCGATCGATACTAATATCAAATGTATACATGAGGATACATGGGTGTGAGTGTGTGGGTCCATCAGATTCATCTATTCAACTCATCACACCAATACGACAATGTCAATACACCCTACACTTCGCTCATAACAGTACGTCCAAGACTCACACCCAGTCAAAGAAAATCCGAATGGTCGAGAGCTAGATAGTAAAAACATCTGATTGACTGGAAGTATAGTACAAAGTAGTCGTGTTAAATGGTTAATCTGATGTTTCAGAAATATATTTGGACTTGTGCATGTAAATAAATAAACATATGTATTTTATTTCGTATAATGCTCCTTGCAGTCCATCTTGCAAGATAAAACATTTGTATAGATCTAGTTTTGTAGAGGATACTATGAGCTATCTACCCACATAATAAAATCAATAGATTCCTATGGCAGTTTCTCAAATTTCAACGTGATTTTCCAAACAAATCCTTCTCTGAGATTTTTTTGCTCAGAAAAGATTTTGCTTGTAAAAATATATGTTTGACTCTTGATTATCACATATTGAAAACCTCTGAATACTGGTGGTGATAATAGTATGATTAGATAAAAAAACAAAAAACATTTATTTTTACATCAATTCGATGCCTTTAACAACCGGATGTTGATAAGCACGTCGATGAAGATCATCTCGAATTCGATAAATTTCATAACAAGCTTTAACCTCCTTGAGAAAATAAAAAATTGTTTATTATTTCAATAATGAAAGAAATAATAAAAAAGAGAACAACTAAATTTACTTTATCACGTAAACATAAATGACGTCTACCATCATTAACTTTAATTACTCGATAAAATTTAATAAAACGCATATGTTCAAATGAAATTTTTGTTCCCAAATAATATGAATCACGTGCAAAATAATCAAATTTATCCACATCAACACCAGTTAATTTGTTCGATACTATCTAAATAAGAATACAATCATTAATTTTTTTCTTTTTTTTGAATAAATTAATATTCATACCTCGTAAAGGAATGATTTACTTATATCCCGACCTTTGTATGGCCAAACCTTTAACAAAAAAATAAATAAATAAAGAATTTCTTAAAGTACACTAATAGAAGCTCTAGACATTCTAAGAAAAAAACTCAGCTGTGGAGATCTTTATACCGCCGAGTTTTCATTTACAGTTTTTGAGAAGACAATTTTTCGAGTTAGTGGCTTGAAGTCTATTTTAAAATTGTTGAACCCATCTGTTATAAGGTTAAAGCGTTATTTACTAAATACATTTTATCGAATTAAGTTTAATTATGTATGAATCAGAAGAGCCAATATTTTTACATATGTTCATGGGAAAAGAACTTGTTCAAAAATCTAACTCATATAATTGTATTGCATGCGATCATATCTCACTTGAAAAAAATTGCTACTTTTCTATCGTTAAGTTTATTTGTTATATGCGCAAAGAAGATTACTACAAAATCCACATGTCTAATAGCTGTTTTTTTTATTTACCGAGACATTCTAATAATAGCTTAAAGCAGTCAACAAGTGCCTATTGAGTAGGCCTCGAATTCGCGTTCCATCCGATGGATGTTACTCTGAAAGTAGGAGTCGATTAGAACTCGATACTTATACGATCATTGTCGAATCTTTTAGCAAATGGCCTAATTTTTTTATAAATATAAATGAGAAAAATCTTGTAATAATAAATTTAATATGACATCATTCGGAATTAAAGTCGTGAAATATTCAACGAAAATATATTACAAAATTTTTTTTTTTCCATGAGACTACTAACAATAAAACGATATCTTATAATTCATTTTACATGAAAATGAGCTTTTGAAAAAATGATTGAGTAAAAGCTACAGTTTAGTTCAATACCAAACTTTGTAGAGAAATGTTCGATCGACTGCAATATTTTTTAGCATATTCAACAAGAGACTTATAAAATAAACATAAACTGAGGAGCAATGTCTTCTAACTGATTAATTATTTTTGAATGAGAACCATATGTACCACGTAGATTCTAATGATCTATGAACATTCTGAAAACTACTCAGATCCTAGGATGATTGCTGCAAATATATTGATTGCATTGTTAGAGTATTTTTTTAATTGGATGTCGTTGTATCTTAGGAAAATTGACTGCAGATGTCTCAACTTGAAATTTTGCATGCAAAACAAGCCTTAATGATAATAGTTTATTGTCGAAGTGTCAGATGTTTTTATATGCTTCTCTTCTGAAATAAGAACATCGAAACGTGTTTATGTATTTATATGAGTGAAATAAAAAAAATGCACTTTTATCATAGTCTTATCTTAGGATAAGAACAACAAAAAAGATTTGAAACTCTCACAATAAACTATTTTCATCATACAAAGTTTCAAATCAAAATTCGAAAATTAGTTTTTTCAATATTCCTGAGAGGAACCAGAGCGTTCAATTAAAAACTATCCAAAAAATACAGTATCTTCATAGCAATTAGCAAAGATCCCTTCATTCTATATAATGCACATAGTCCTGATTCAAAAGCAATTAATCAGTTAGATGATTTTCATCGTGAGACAAAATTTCTAACTGCATAATCTAACTCTTTACATTCCTGATATTTATTCTATTTTCGATTATAGACTAACCTGATTATTTTCTTGTCCATTTAATTCATTAAAAATAAGTTCATTTACAAAAATAATATCGATTTCATTGAGTCCAACTTGTGCAAAAAATGACATTAAATTATTTTTTTCAATCATATAATTAAACATTTGAACAGAAGTATGTTCATGCTAAACAAAACAAAAAAATAAATTTTCCTAATTCTAAATCATAGAAATAAAGATTAATTTACTTTCCAATGTAATTCTGGTCGAAGTTCTTCAATAACACTTTCAAACATATGAGAAAATGGTCCATGACCTATTTAAAAATAAATCATTCAAATATATTTACATTTTATTCATAGAATTAACCAAGATCATGACAAAGAGCAGCCATTTGAACACATAAAATATCTTTTGTTGTTATATTCAATTCCGGTTGTTTTTGACAAAGATGCATTAATAATTCTCCAGCAAGATAACATGTTCTAAATAATGAGAATCATTTTATATAATATGTTGAATTAAATCTTTTGTTTTTTTTTGTTTTTTTATAGTTACCCAATTGAATGTTCAAATCGTTGATGACATGCACCAGGAAATACATAATATGCTGCTCCAAGTTGTTTAAGACGTCGAAGTCTTTGAAATTCTGGTGTATCAATTAATTTAACAAGTAACCAATGTAATTCAATTGAACCATGAATTGGATCATTAAAAATCTATTTAAATAGATTTTAGAAAAAAAAATACACATACACCTACAATTAAATGATTCTTTTGAAATACTTTTGTATCTTGAATTGAACTAGAAAAAAAAAATTCTTTTTCTTTTTTCTTTTGAATATTTTCTTTTCAACTAACTTGTCTTGAAATGAATCTGTCAATATTGGTGATATTTCAAGATCACTTGTTTCATCTAATTTATATCGTTTAGCAGATGGAAAATCTTCATTGTCAGACATGATTCAAAACTATTATTTACATCTGAAGATAATCAATATTTTATTTTATTTTTTATCACAATTAAATCACCTTATTTTTAATCATTCAAAAAAAAACGAAGAAGAAAAAGAAAACAATTACAAAACAAACAAAATCAAAAACAAATAAATTTAGATGAAAAATATTAATAAGATGACTGAACGTATTGCAAATCATACCTAAAATAAAAAAATAAACTGAATTTCTTAACTTTTCACAAAAATTGCTGGTATACCGTTCGATGTACTGTGCTTCATGCTTAAAACGTTGGCTATTTTCTGACTAGAGAGCTGCGGATTCAGGGCCGGTTCTAAAGTTTTGTTTTTTTTGTCAGACCCGATTACACGTTTTTGTGAATCCACTGCTCTCTAGATAAGAAATATAACAACAAGATATCTTTATACCTTGCGTTATTTTTTCAAAGAGTGGCGAATAAATCGCTAAAACCTTGATCCTCTATTTGTTCATGTACATGAAGAATGACATGTATTGATGAAAAAAGTCTTGGATTTGGACCCGGTCGGATCCACAAAAACGTGGAATCGCAGCTCCCTACTACTGACTCCCTAGCTCAAATAAGTACAGTCGTAAACGACCGTTTTGAATGGCTTTTTTCCGCCGTTTGGCTGTTTAAATCATTGATTCTGGTGTCTAGCGAAAAGATGCCATTTTTGACCGGGAAACTGAACAATCCTAGGTCAAGGGAATGATAAGAACTTGAAAGAAGGAAGTCGGTGATCGGATTTTTACTACCGAAATCTATATGAAATTACTGACGGTAGTGAGAACAAATGTGCGCGACATAGATTTCTTACCATTCATTAATTTCTCCACCTTGACTATCAAGATTATTCAATGGAATTGATACCTTAATTTAAGAAAAACGAAAATTAATATTTGATGTTTTGTTTTAATAAACAATTTTTCATACTTCTCGATCTTGAGGTGCTGCTGGATCGGTAGTATTTGATGCATAAACATATAAATTATGTTTAGTAGCATTTTCAAATGTTACACAAAATGTCATAGGTTCTTTCCATACAATACGTGCATTATCTACGAAAATTCTTGTATGTTTTTCTGTAATATCTTCATTATCAAATGGTCCAATTAATGTAAATTTTAAATCCATTTCAGGTGAAAATAATTGTTCAGGTGATATTAAACCTTGAGCATCAACAATTTGAACAATTAATTTACTTCGTTCATTATCATATCGAATTGATAAATGTAAACGACTAGGTTTTGAATCTGCATGAACAACTGGATCATATGGAAATACAACATTTTGATGTTCAACTTTAACATAATCATTAGGTTCATTAGATATAAATGAACCATGTTTAGCAATACGTGTACGTAAATCTTCATCTTGTAAACGACATAAATCAGATGTTTCATGTACTATTTCACCTGATGGTTGATGTTCAGGAGTAATTATATGTGTTTCAGAATCATAACTAAGTACTTCATTTGGTTCACCACGAGGTATTGGTTCATCATTATCTAAACCTTGCATATTTGATGTATCGAATTCTTTAGATTTTTCTTCTTCCTGTAATAAAATAATAATTCTTTTTTCAATATTTCAAATACGAAAATAAAAAAAGAGGCATTTCTCTTACATTTTTCTCTTCATCGGTTAACCAAGAAGCGACATAAAATAGAATAGTAATTATTGAACAAATAGTTACTGCTAAACATATTTCACAAAAATTTACAGTCATTTTTGACTTTTGTCGACTCTAAAACAAATACTACCGAATATGCAATGGAAGAGTACCACAGCTGTGTATATAAAAGTAAAAATTTCCATATTGCTCATTGGTTATTCTTAATGTTCTGATAGATGTCATTTTGAATTATGAAAAAAAAAAACAATTTTATTTTAATATGAAAATTTTCTTTAAAAATATTTAAAAATTTTTTTTTTACATCTAAAATAAAATTTTTATTGAAGAAAAAAAAAATTTTTATCTATTTCCAAGTGAAGGTTAACGAAATAAATGTGAAAAAATAAACAATATGACGGCGAATACGAATTGAGATAATTGTCTTTATTATTACGATTTACCACACAAAAAAAAACTATACAGTATACGATTCATCTCGATATTTTCGTCTATTTTAGATCTTTTGTCTTTTATAAATGCCGGCAAAAGCAGCTCAACCAAAAAAGAAAGAAAAAGAAGCATCCGGTGGTTCATCTGGTGCTAAAGCTAAAAAGAAGAAATGGTCAAAAGGAAAAGTTCGCGATAAACTTAACAATATGGTTAGTCATTTCTTGTTTTTTTTTGCCAATCGAAAAACTTCAACTGTTTTTTCTGTCTTAAGGTCTTATTCGATAAAGCAACCTATGACAAATGTGTTAAAGATTTGCCACAATATAAATTAATTACACCGGCTATTGTTTGTGAACGTTTTAAAGTTCGAGGTTCTCTTGCTCGTGCAATAATACGTGAACTTGTTCGTCGTGGTCTTATTCGATCTGTTGTTAAACATAGTCGACAAGAAATTTATACACGATCAACAAAAGAAGATGCACCAGGTGATCAAGATGTAACTAAAGAAGGTGCAAGTGAAAAGAAAGAAGGTGGTGGTGGTAAAAAAGGTGGCAAGAAAGCAGCTAAAGTTGATGCAGCAGCTGCAGCTGATGAAGCTACAGCTGAATAAATCAATAATTAAAATATCTTCTATATAATAATAGCAACAGTTTTGTTTGTTTTTAAATAAAACATAAGAAGAAAATATAAGAACTATTAACAAGAATATTGATGTTTGTTTTTCTAGATGTCTTCAACTTCAGGTAATAATCCACAAACTAAACGAAAAGAAATTTATAAATATGAAGCACCATGGATGGTTTATGCTATGAATTGGTCAATTAGACCTGATAAACGTTTTCGTCTTGCTCTAGGATCATTTGTTGAAGAATATAATAATAAAGTAAAAAATTTCAAAATTTATAATTCAATATTTTTTTTTTTGTTTTTGTTAGGTACAAATTGTTTCACTCGATGAAGACACATCAGAATTTCTAGCACGTTCAACATTTGATCATCCTTATCCAACAACAAAAGTCATGTGGATACCCGATACTGTAAAGAAAATTTAGTAATACAAAAAAAAATTCTAAGTCATTTTGTTTTTTTTTTATTATAGAAAGGTGCTTTTCCTGATTTACTGGCAACAAGTGGCGATTATTTACGTGTTTGGCAGACAGGAGATAGTGGTACTCGACTTGAATGTTTACTTAATAATGTAAGAAATTAATATTCTTCGATCTAAACAATAGATAGATATTAGAGCTACTGATAATTTTTCGACGATAACGGGCAAAGCTCTTGGATTTTGAAAATCAAAATGTTGATGCATCGCCTTATTATTCGAGAGTACTTTGTAAAACCTATCGGGTCGGTCTCGGATTCGATGAGCTCTAATCGTGTGAGAAATGATGCAGAAGAACCGCGATTTGAACAACAAGATGAAATTTTTGTGAAAATATCCCTAATGGTTAATTACATGTTATTTTTGCTATTATGATTGGATGTTTTTGATTACGTAAAACAGAACGGATATGATCGAAAAAAAAAATATTGTGTTAATTCAAGTGTTTCTTGTATGATTTGATACAGTTCTCTATTTTGTACTATATGTGTTTAATTCTTGTTTAAAATTTTTTTTTTGATTTTTAGAATAAAAATTCTGATTTTTGTGCTCCATTAACGTCATTCGATTGGAATGAAATTGATCCAAATTTAATTGGTACATCAAGTATTGATACAACATGTACTATATGGGGTCTCGAAGTAAAATATAAAATTTCAAAAAAAAAAAAAAAATTTGATAATTTTTGCTTTAGACAGGACAAGCTATTGGTCGAACAAATCCTGTTAGTGGACATGTTCGTACACAATTAATAGCTCATGATAAAGAAGTTTATGATATAGCATTTAGTCGAGGTGGTGGTGGTCGTGATATGTTTGCATCAGTTGGTGCTGATGGTTCAGTTCGAATGTTTGATTTACGTCATTTAGAACATTCAACAATTATTTATGAAGATCCTCAACATCATTCATTATTACGTCTTGCATGGAATAAACAAGATCCAAATTATTTAGCAACATTTGCTATTGATTCAATGGAAATAGTTATTCTTGATGTTCGAATACCATGTACACCAGTTGCACGTCTTAATAATCATCGATCAGGTGTTAATGGTATTGCATGGGCACCTCATTCAGCATGTCATATTTGTACTGCTGGTTAGTAGAATAAAATTTTTTATGAGAATAAAATCATCGGATTTTTTTGTATTTCTTAGGTGATGATCGACAAGCATTAATTTGGGATATTCAACAAATGCCACGAGCTATTGAAGATCCAATTCTTGCTTATACAGCTGAAGGAGAAATAAATCAAGTACAATGGAGTACAACACAACCAGATTGGATTGCAATTTGTTTTAACAATTTTCTTGAAATATTACGTGTATAGTTTTCTTTCTTGTTTATTGTAGACTAGTCCATTATTTTATCATACTTTATATATATATATATACATATATATATAAATAACACATGTGTTCAGATTCGTTTTTTTTCTTTTACTAACTGTACAGTTCTTTTTGTGTTTCCTGAATGATGGAAATCTCACTTCCGACATATAGCAGAGCTTGTTTCGTTCTTCTTTTTTTTTGTGTAACAAAAAAAAATAAATAAAAATATGTAATTGAATTCATATTAAAACAAACTAAAAGATGTCGTAAGAATAATAATATTGTGTTGTTTTTTTTTCTTGTCTTGAATTTAAGCATCAATATGAAGGACAGTTTTTTTCTTGATAGACAACCAATCACAAAACATTTTGTGATTATGCATATAAATAGTGTGACAAACATTGTGTTGTATGTCATTTTAGATTTTCTCTTTTTTTGTTACATATTGAGCTTCGATCATGTCCGGACGTGGCAAAGGTAAGTTGAATTTTTTGAAGATAGAGACAAGTGTAAGTTATAAATGATTTTTATTTAGGTGGAAAAGGTCTTGGCAAAGGTGGTGCTAAACGACATCGTAAAGTACTTCGAGATAATATTCAAGGTAAGTATATGAAATAGTTAAGACTTCGAAGTTAAAGTTCACTGTTTCTCTTTTGAGTATTTAAGAGTTTGAGTAAGATGGAGTCCAGAACTCGAAATAGGCGAAACTTTTATAGAGAATTTAGTTTTGTTCATGCATGATTTTGAATCAATAGATAATTTAGTTTACAATCGAATGAATCACTCTGTACCAATGTGTTAAAATCTGTTTGCTTGTGCTGCCCTCTATAATTTTTTACTGCAATATTTCTTTTTCAATTATTGACTATATCATGTAAAAATATTCTGAATTATTCGTGGATTTAAGATCTCATATAGATGTAGTTGGTGTATCAAATACGTAGGAGAAAAAAAACAACACTTGAATTGTTGCGTAACTATTCCATAATGCTTGTCGAGTCTGATCGCAGAAGTCTAAAGTTTTCATTGAACGAATCTTGGTATCTAAAATTATGGATCGTATTCAAGTGTAATGACGCGGGAATCTCTGTACCAGGGACCAATCCGACGGGTCCTAGTGTACAGGTGTCTCTGTTCTCCAGGTATCAAATCGCTTTTCGATCTGACCGATATTCATTTGATGAATAATAGAAAAGTCTAGAATGATTTGGTTTTTCCGGTCTTTGTTTTCGAGATGTACTTTTAACAAAAAAATTGATTCTCTCAGGTTACATGAAGAATCGAGTTTCGATTTCAATATTTGCATGAACCACCATTGTTTATATATATTTACATCTTCAGAAAGGAAATAGTTTAACATCTAGAGAAATCCTTTCTATAGTTTTGATCCTTTTTTCTAGGCATTACTAAACCAGCTATTCGTCGTTTGGCTCGACGAGGTGGTGTTAAACGTATAAGTGGTTTAATCTATGAAGAAGTACGTGGTGTATTGAAGATATTTTTGGAAAATGTTATTCGAGATGCTGTTACATATACTGAACATGCAAAACGCAAAACAGTTACAGCAATGGATGTTGTCTATGCTCTTAAACGTCAAGGTCGTACACTCTATGGTTTTGGTTCATAAAAACCATATACAAAATTAAGAATGAAACAAGCATACATTTATTATCTACAAAAAATAAAATAATCTTTGCCTGTTTAATGTTGTGTATGAGTACTTTAATTATTGTAAATTTTTTTTCTTTCTTTCATTATTCCTCTTGTGTTTTCATTTATCTTCTTCTGCATGTATTGTATCGTCTAACATTAGAGGGTTTCTCTTGTCTTTATGTTTGCAAATAAAATAGAAAGTAAACAATGAAATTTCTCTCATCTATATCATAGTTATAATTATTGACATAAACAAAATAATTCATGTAAACTTCGAAATTCTTTGTATAAATGGAAAACTAATGCAAATATTATGCTTCATCGAATAAAAAAAAACTTCTTATTTCATACGATGAACATTTATTCTCATCAGATGACATTTCATTAGGAAGCTGTGAATCTCGATCTACAAAAGACAGGGACCAGCAGTTCCCTACATTACACCCTCTAATTAGCTGTTTGTGTGTAGATTTACTGTCTGTTAATTATTTCGACGAAAAGAAATGAGCAATCAATGTACTGTCGGGACAAAATAAATATATAAACGAATAGGTAAAAACTATTTAATTTTTTAAC